AAAATCCACATATTCTTCCTGCCCAAGAACTTGCCCCATTTTAATTACACCTTTCTATAGTCAATCGGGGTGTGTGGGACAGTGAAGATGTAAATCAGAGATGGATAATAAGAGGAAATAGTTAGAAGCGTAACACGATTATGTTTGTCCCTTGCTTCAGATCTCTCGTTGCTTTGAGGTATCAGTCCAAACCCTTTTGGGGAGCCCCAACCCAGGGTCTTTGCATTTCTTTCTTCCTTGCTTAATCCTTCTCTTCTCCCATCTGCAATGCATCCATCACTTCAGTCGTTCCCAACTACCTCCTGTAATTTAAAAACACCAAGCTCTCTGTCTCGAAGAACCGCTCCCACTGTTTCTACTGCCTATTCGTCTTTTAATGTTTAGCCTGGGCAGCTGGAACTCCTTCCGTAGTGATTCCACACCCCTGACGCTCAGTTACTAAATCTGAGTTTTTGTTGCTCCTTCTGTGTGCTTGCATGCCATGCTGCTCACACGTCAGTCAGCAGGAATCACACAGTATTATAACTGTAGTCATAGATATGTATAATGTACATATGTATTATGGTTATAATTACTTGTTTGTCTCCATCACCAGATTTGAGAGAAACTTGAGGGCACTTTAGGTATTAACATTCCTTTTATCTTTATGCTCCTAGCACAAAAATAGTGCCTGGCACAGAGGAAGCACTCAAGAAATACTGGCCAAATGAATGATTAAATAGACTAAATCCCTTGTTGACAATTTCCTAGATTGTGTCCCATCTACCCCGTGACTTCTAAATTCTGCTCACTTAAAAGCTGAACTACTAATAAGCCTGTGGGATCCTCTGTGAAATCCCTCTCTGGAGAGACTGTTCTACCCTTTCTTGTCCTACCTCCCCGCCCCCGACATGCATTCTTTTGGCTTAACCTCAATGGTTTTTCAATTTTGACTTGAGATAACGCGCGCACACACACACACGAGTATATGTATGTATTTGTATATACATAAGCTTTAGGCTGGGGAAGAGATAATCTATACAAGATAAAATTAAGTAGGTTGGCATGTTTAATCAGGGCTTTAACTCTCTCATTCCATCACTGAAAAGTACCAGCATTCTGTTGAATACTGA